ACAGCATATCTGACATACTTTAGTATACTCTTACCAGTTCACCAAACTCCCAATCCAGATCGCTCAGTAGGACTTATGACCGGTGCATTGATATATCAGGTCGGCCCGATATCCTTTTCCTTTGGCTTAATCTGGCAGCCTGGTTGGTGGTACCTCCAACCTAAAGGTTTTTGCCTATCTGGCTACTTTGACCTTGGTATCTATTTCATAAGGCTAGCCTTTATAGTAGGGCCATCAAAGATCTGGCTACCTCTTTACTCGGGTCTTTCCAAATAGACTTCTTGTTACCCAATTTCGACAAATTTACATGGCCACAAAGACTTATCTAGTGTTTGCACTGCCTATTGCCAGTTTGCATCTCTTCATGTAACTACAACTTTGTGCCAAAGGACAATGTTATGTGACCTGTTACATGAATGCCCCATGACCTACCAGTCATGCTGATGTGATTGTCATTACAGGTATCCTAACCTAATCGTTAGTAACAGTTGCCATAATATGAATATTATATAGGTGATTATTCAAATTTTCACCATCAATGGAATTTGAACACCTAACCTACCACTTGGAGGGTTGACAACCTGACCACTTCACTAGGTTACCACACCCTTGCTCTAAGGTTTTATACTAGATGTCATATCTATAATCTATTAGAAAATTATCTATTTAAACTTTCTAATTATCTATCTGTTATGATGTAATCCCAACTAACCCTCTGTATATATCTAACTAGTATATCATCTGAGCAGTATAGTACTTATTCTTTTTGTACTAATTCCCAAATTATTATATATTTAAATTACATTACCTATCAGTAAGATGCAAAAGACTTTTAATTGTTAAATATCTATTCATTTTTAGAATACTAATAAGGGCTACTCTTACAAAATTTATTCAAATCCTAATACTGACTTTATAGCATATTCTTAGTACTTTTAGTATACCTTTGCTTTGACCTCAGACTTCTAATTTAGATAATCCAAAAGGACTGTGATCTGTCTTTGGTATATTGAGACCAGTTCAATATTTTTTTTCTCTAGTTCAAATTCTAAGAGCCTGGTTTGTAGTACTTCTTACTTGAGATTTTTGTCTGCTTAATTTCTCTATATTGGTATCTATTTTCTAAATCTAGTCTTTACAGTAGTACTGTTAAAGATCTATATTACCTTTTTGCTTAGAATTTCCAAGTGAGTTCTAACTTCCCAGTTCTACAGATTTATACAGTCCAAAGACTTATTTTAGGTTTGCATTGCCTAGTACTGATTTGTATTTCTCTATGTAACAGATTATACAAATGCTTCAGACTTGCTAGTTATGCTGATGCAATCATAGTTACAGATATCTTATTCTAACTGATTAACAGAATGCTGTTACTATATTACTGTCTATAAATTATACCAAATTTCACTATTGATAGATTTTAAACTTACAACCTATTATTTAAGAAAATGACAACTTATCTATTTCTCTAAGTTACCACATCCTTAATATATAATATTTTAGTTTTTGATTGTTTATATATATTTAATTTATATTCAAGAATCATAATGCAATATATATTAAACGATTAGAAGATAAAGGGTCTAATCAAAAATATATATCAAATGTCGATTCATATTTTATATTTAATTTTATTTTTTTTATTATTTTTTATTAAACAACTACTATAAACAATTGCAAGACTAGCAGAACCAAAAAAAAATCTGCTACAAGTAAATAAATTTTATAAATTTTATTTTTAAATATGATTCAAAAAAAATATAATAAATTTAATTTTTTTTAATATAGAGACAAAGTATTTGAAAACATGATTTCTAAGTACTTTGTTTAAAAAAAATTAAACAAAAAAATAAAAATTAAAATAAAATTATAAAAACTAATTAAGAAAATACAATTGCACCAAAAAACCTTGTAAATTTATTTTTAATACTCTTTTGAAAAATTATAACTCTGATTAGATTTGAATACAGAACACAACAGCAAAAAAATTATTGAAGAAAACATAATAAATTCAAATAGTAACAAATGTGCTAATTATTATTAATAACAACTTTGTGCCATTGCATAAATCAGAAAATTATAATCTTTTTAAAAAACAATGAAATATTCTAAAAATTTAGAAAAACTGTAATTATAATACTCTGGCTGTAATAAATATTATGTTCATTGAGTTGTTCTAAATAAATAAAATGATTTATTTATTTTTTATTGTTATTATTTTGTTAGTCTGAATTTTTTGGTTGTATTTTTTTGTAAGTGCCCTAATTTCCTTCACTTCCCTATTAAAGAACTATAAAATTAATTAATAACACAAATACTCCGATATGTGAAAAATTAGTAGAACCAATCAGAAATGGTGGTAAATTCTTTTTTTGTTAATTTTTGATGCAAGTTCAAGTTGCATGAATTTTTGGTGCTCGATTTGTCACGTGGTGTTCTAAGGTTGGATTTGTCCATTTTTGCCATACACTGCAGCACTGGCAATCATAAATAATGCAACACGTGATAATTTTTATAATAAAACATAGTAACTTGACATTTTCACTATAATAAAATTTTTTTATAAATATTAGAGTAAAAATTTCAACAGTTACTATGTTTTATTATAAAAATTATCACATGTTGCATTATTTATGATTGCCAGTGTATAAGAGTTTTAAATATTCCATTTGTCCAGATTTTCAATGGCCAAATCCCAAATCCAAATAGTTGTATAATCTGGATATAACATGGATGGTAAATTAATCCGGATTTCACCTCTAGGATTTGGATTTTAAACATGACCGAACAAATCCCATTTGACGAGGTTTGTCTGGAAAAATCCCAAATCCCATAAGTTTGTCCGGTAGGTAAGTAGTGTTGCAAAGCAGTCCTCGATAATATTAATCATATCACAACAAAGTACAGATACCCGGATACCCCCGCGCTTAACGTGGGAGAAGACGCACAAAATATATGCAAGCAGTATCTAGCGAAACATCTTATTCTGAAGCAGACTAGTTGAAGTATCTTAATGTAAAGGTAGATTTTGTGAGTTGTGTAGCTTAACACTTATTTTTTGCTTTATTTAAAAAAAGATATATACTGCATTTTAATTAGGATAAAATCAATTTGTAAACCTCCGTCTGATAAGAACTATTAAAATAATCTTTACAGTACAAAGTCACGATATATGAGCTCATATTAATACGATTGGCAACTGACAGACAGTGTGAATTTTATCCTCAAATTTATAATCATTTAATACTTGAAATAAAACTTTACTATTATAAATTGTATACGTACTTAATCAAAAGTTTCATTTCTTCTCGAATCAACTCACATACTCTAACGTTAGACGTGAACCCATAGTTGAATCACCAGATCTTATTTTCAATATTATTTTGCTTATCCATTCATGTCCTTGCATTTCAATTAACCTTGATACTGCTCTCTCAAATGCAAAAACTTCCTCTTCACCCGTAAATATGGGACTAGACTTATGATCCTTTGCATGAAGGTTTAAATCATCCAAAAGTTCATGATGTGTGGGATCTAGATCTTCTTCAGTTGTAAATAATTCTTTTACTGGGACTTCAGCCGAACATACTAATATAGTCTTTGAAAATAAACTTTGAGAAGATTGTCAAATTATGGAAAATCGATGAAAAAAGATTTACCTTTGTATCATACAATGCATCAATAAGTGTAATAAACCTTCTAGCTTCGTTTTTCAATTTTAAAGACATTCTTGGTATATCCGTAAGTATAATAGTTGTATAGTGTTTAGTAAGTTCAAGATAGTCAGCGGCACTTAAAGGCTGACAACATAATTGTTCAAAGGTGAATTTTGCAATGTCATCACAGGCCTGGGGTACTCGAAGAGATCTCCCCCAAAAATTCAAGTTGGTTTCATAAACTTGTCGCCCACGCGTTAACATATTGAAAACATCATCTATCCCGGTTGAAGATTGTTCATTCAGTGGTGTAAAGTATAAACCAGTTGCTATACGAGCCAATTTGCGGTAATCCGTTCCAGAATTGAGAGATTGTACTTGACATCTTTCTTTCAATCGTTCAATACAAGGAATAAAACTTTTACGTTGGATCCCATTTTTGTATAAATCATCTGGATGACGGTTGGAGGTGGTGACCATAACAACACTACGATTAAATAATTCATCGATAAGACGTCGGAGAATCATTGCATCCGCTATATCTGTAACTTGGAACTCATCAAAGCACAAGACGTATGCATCACTTGCTAAATCAGTAGCAATAGGTGGTATTGGATCATAAGTTTCTGAAATCTCTTGCTTAAGTTTATGAACTCGTGCATGAATATCAAGCATAAAAGCGTGAAAATGGATTCGACGCTTTCGTTTAATAGGAAGTGTGTCATAAAAAAGGTCCATCAGCATGGTCTTGCCGGTTCCTACATCACCATATAAATACAGTCCTTTCGGGCTGTTTACGGGGATCTTAGTCGGGGCACCAAAAAATCCTGAAATCTGGCATTGATTGAAATTGGATGATTTCTAAATAACAACATCGTATAGGATTAAGAGCATTTAATCAATTCACCTTTCTGAAAATTGAACTATCACCAACATTGCCCCTTGGATCCATGATGGGGGGTGGAACATAATTTATCAACCGCTCGTATAAATTCTGAAGGATACAGATTATACTACGCTGAAAAGAATCTTCTCTTACCATTCTGGATGCTACAAGAGCGTCGTAACGTGGGATAGGTCCACCTAAACAACCTGAACATGAAGAAGAAATTATTAATAAGAGCGAAATAAACTTAAATGATAAAGTGAACATCAAAAGCTCTGAAAATTTCGTAGATCAATATCTATAATGCTACAATCTGATTGGTCTTATTAATATATGTATATTATATATATATTTTTTAATTTTATTATTGAGTATATACAATTTCAAAAAACAAAGCAATTAATAAATTGGATGTCTTTAAGCTATTTGCACCATACAAACATTAAAATCAATTACTTTTAGATGGTAAAGATTCATCTGAAATAATGGTAGATTCTAATGATCTCAAATTAGATTCATCGACAAACCCATTGAAAGATCGAGGTTCAGTAGAATAATTATTAGTCAACACTCTATAATGACCAATATTTCTCGTTGAACCCTCAGAAAAACATATGAGTTTTGATACAGAAGGCCAAGAAGCAAATGCATTCAGTAATTTTGGAAAACTTCGATCTGGGTGCCTTTTAGTTATATTTAAGCAAAAACTTCGAGTAAAAATTAAAGTCGTCATGCAGTGATTTTTTACGAAGGCCATCGTGTATTGTAACATTTCTTTTTAGATCCTCTATTTATAATACTAATTATAAAGTGACACGAAGCGTAATAGTGCCACAAGTCGAGTACTGATGATCAAATGATGAAATTATAACTATTTTTAGTGTTAGCGTTAGCGTTAGTTAAATTGATAATAAGGGCCATATAGAAAATTTTTGGTTTTATACCAATTTGAAGACTCTTTTTGTATATTTTATTAATAGCCGAGTGGATTTTTTTATCTTAAGTACTATTTTAATGCTTACCGGCAGCGAAATTCACCAGCGTACTATTTCTCAACAACGAATAACAGTCAAATTGGTTTGTAGTTTTTAAAATGCGAGCTTTTAGAAATAAACAATTATAAATTTATAATTACGTATTTATTTTTAAAAGCTAATATCTCAAGAACTACCAACTTATTTTAATAATTTTATTGTTATATGGACCGTTCTGGTCGGTTTCGGACCGATTTTATGGTATTTATTAGTTCATTCAGTACGTCTTCAACGCTTATCGTTATCGTTAAAATTTTTTTAACCGACAAATTGTTAAATGCTTATAAATATAAAGTATACATTTTATACGCGAATCTAATTTAATACTAAGAATTAAATATATATACAGTATATCTTCGTTATAACCAGGGTTGGTCAAATTGCTGGTTAACTAAAAATTCATTGATGCAGTTACTAGTTTTTACTTAAGCACATTAAAGGCTTTTTGACAACTTGAATTCTATTCATATTGGGCATTTTTATATAATAACTAGTTAAGAGATTAGGCAATTAAGAAAAAAATTTTAATAAACCTTTAATAATATTTAATGAGTTCTAAAAAGAATCAAAGTTAGGTTATACTTTTAAGAGGCTAAATGTTTTGTATCATAGAAAAATATCAAGCATCTCAAGCCAGTCATTTTGATATATATTTTATTATAAACAAACCAAAACTCATCAGATACAAACAAAAAAATGAAATTTAAAATTTGTCTTTGCAGGTTTTTTTATTGATATTTTAAAAAAAACTGCAGAATTGTCTTGAAAATTTCATTATTTTGTCATCTATTAAATTTTTTTAAACATCCAATTAGTTTTTACAAATGCATTATACTCAACAAATCATTTTTAAATAATCTAATAGTTCTTAAAATTAATGAATAAGATTTAGGCTTTTGTATTACTGGTAGTACATTTTAAAAAATTCATAGTACAATTAAAAATAAATAAATTTTTACAATGTTATACTCAAATAATTATTGAATCTTATACTACACAAAAATATTATTTTTATTAACTTTTATTATATAATTAAAAAAATTTATATAATCTTAACTCTGTGGCTTATTTAACAATAATAAATGTATTACATGTAGTATACTATTACAAGTTACTTTATACTTCACTAAAAAAGAATTATTAGTTGTATACTTAAAATATAATAGAATAGATGTTAATAAATATATAAAAAAAAATTTAAATCTTGTTGAAGCTACAGAATATATATTATGAATATGACTAGTCTAACAATTAGTACACAAAGTATGTAATTGTAAGCAACTGTAAACAGTAGTTGTTCACTTATGACAAACTAAACAGTGATGTTGAACATGCTTTCCTTTAAGTTATAAGGTTGCAGGATCATTCCAGAGACTGTTAAGATTGTGTTTATTGTTATTATAATCTTGTCTTCTTTTTTTTTAGCTCAATCACTTATTATTTCATTTGAATAATACTTAAGAATTAACATTGCTAATTGTTTACAGAAGTTTACATGTCTCATATTTTTTTTTTTTGAAACAAATTAACAATACACAAAAAAACTATTGGCTTCTGCAATTGAAAAATAAAAAGTAAGGATCTAATTTTCTGAACATTTTGTTATAAGCACATTATGATAAAAAAATGCATTATCATGCAGATTATTAAGTATATCAATAGCAGACCTGTATTTATTAAAGTCATCAAAAACAACAGGTTGCAAAAAAGTTACAACTCTATAATTTTTGTTGTATTTCTTTATTTCAGTTTTTAAATTAGTTGTTGAACAACTAGCTAAAACTATATGATTCTTGCAATCACAAATAGAACATAAAACAAGATTAATGCTATCTAATTTTCTAATCTAGTTACAATATAATCTATACTTATTTTCAAGCATATCTGTAATGTTAAAAGGAATATTTTTTAGCCAATAATGGTATTTTTATTTATTTATAATATAGAATATAGCCTATGCTTAAACAAAGTAACATATGCATTCACACTTCCAAACCACAAATCTGCAATAATTGTCCTATTACTATTAAACTATGACTTAACTAATCGCAACATAGTTACAACTGTTGGCATATAATTATTTAAAAATTTTTTTTTTATAGAAAATTCAAAAAGCTCTACAGGATCTAAACATAAAAGTAAATTGGCTTGGGCATCAGTGATGGTTTTAAATTCATAACTTATTGGATAAGATTTTTTTGATATTTTTTATTGAAAAAGGTCTCTATTCACTTTATCCATCTACTAATATATGGATTTGTAATACAAAGATAGTCATTAGGCATAATTACCTTAGAAAGATTTTTATTAAATACATTATAGTGCTCCTAGACAAAAAAATAAGGATCATTATTTTTTTTAATATCAGTTAATATTAGATATTTAATAATATCTTAGAATTGCTTATGTGATATATACTTTTCAAAACACAATACAACACCACTAGTTTCTTGTTTTACAGACTAATAATCACAGACATCAGAACAATATATATATGTTATTATTGTTAAAATATCAACAAAGTGTATGAATTTTATCCAAGTTAAATCATTTCAGAATTGTTCACTTTCATATACATATTTGTTGATAGTTGGTATTACAGTTAACATAATATAATCAACTGATAGAAAGTATTCAAAGAATTGTCTAGGTAATGCTAATGCAATATTAGAGATATGTACTATAGAATGTCTGAAATAGGAATAGCTCACTTAACAGAAATCAACAGTAACAACAACATTTACCTACATAATTCCACTTTCATTATGAATATACATCTTCTTATTTTCTTTATCTCCACTTGAAACATCTGTTTCAAATTTTTCTTATTTATTTGTCATATCATTCTTTTTATTTTCTTCATTTGAATTATTATTAGTAATAGCTACAAACTTCATATAACCAGCCAAGGCCTCAATTTTCAAATCTAAATTTGCATCAAGTTCAATTATCCATCAATTGTTACTAGGTGTCATCTTCAATACTGTAGCAAAAACCTTCTTGGTTTTCTATATCTCTTCTAATATTAAGCAGCCAATTTTTTTCTTTATAACAGTACTCAAAACAGATACTTTAGCTCTCACCTTTATATTTGGTGAAATATGTCTCATATTTAAAAGGATTTTTTGAAAAAAAGAAAATTATAAAGAAAAAAAAAAAAATTTATAAAAAAAAAAAAAAAACCTAAACTAAATAATGTTTGTAACTATTCTATTATCTTAAATTCTTTTGGTAAGTAATTATAAGTGTCTTTATTATATGCCTTTAGTGTCTTTATCATATGCTTTTAGTTTTGTACATTTATTAATTAGTTTTTTCTTTTTCTTTCTCTTACAAAAAAAAACTTTATTAAACTTATTTCATAAGTAAAAATTGGGTTATTTTTTTTTTTTTGCATTCTTTATATACTCACAATTACATTATAATTGCAATTTAAATATAATTTAACTAAACTATAATTGACTTTAAACTTGATTACATATCTACTTGTGATTTATATAATTTGTATTACTCAGATAATATCACAAATTATACTAATCTTTTTCAGATATATGAGACAAATCTATATCAAAACTTTTTTTACATGTTGTACAACTTTCAAAAAATATATTATTGTAATATAAGCTTGAATGATTTTATTGGTTAGTAGAAAAATGCCTTTATTTGCTATTACATTTAAGTACAAAATACTATCAGTAGTATACCTAAATCCTATCTATTAATATTATACAAACAATTCATATTATCTAAATTTTATAACTATTATTCAAAAAGATAGTTACACACAATGTTAAGTATTATTACTGTTAAACCTAATTCTTTTAACTTAGATAATTATATTGTCAAACATAACAACAATTTTGATACTGTTACTCATGATAATAATATCTGAACTTTCAAAATTTTACCTATCAATTTTAATTCTACAATATATAACTTTCAAAATAACTTTCATTTTTTATAAAACCTACTAAATCTATTATTACTACCTAGTTTTGCAAAAAATATTACACCTATTTTGTTTCATAACACATTACTATTTTAGCATGTTCATAATCTATCTTTGAAAACATTCCAAATTTATTCAACTCTATAAAAATAGATTTCAATATAAAATTATTTAAATATCTTAAAAGCCTTTTAAGATCTAAATTTTAACCAAACATGAAATTATTCATTTATTTTCTACCTTTTGTAATGATATTAGAAAACCCTTTACAAATTCTGTTTTTTTCAAATTATATTTATATCATGCACATACTTGCATTATATGCAAAATTAAGAATATATTATGTATTATTCTTAAAGATAACAAATATCTCAAGATCTACAAGCTTTAACTTTATACTATAAAATCAAATGCTAACAATTATCAGCAAAAGAAAAATGTATACTTTTTAAGAAATTCTTTATAAAATTATCTAAGAAAACCAAAATTATAAATAAATCTAAAGACAATAATCAAAAAAAAACAACAAAACCCAAAAAAACCAAAATAATAATAATTAAAAACAAAATGATAAATAAATAAAATAAAAAAAATTATACAAAAATGTAATATAACAAATGATTTTGATTGGTTTCTTAACTATTCTATTACTTCTAAAATACAACAATATAGTAAATTGAATACACTATTAATTTTATAAGTTTTCTTATTTCTAAAATTATATCTTATAAACTTCATTCTAAAACAAGCAATTCCTATTAAACTAACTGATAC